ATCCAGTACTTCGTTCAGTTACGTATTGCTTACTCCGGGAAAGGAATTCTATCTCCCTCGAGTACCTTTTCAATGGGTTGGCCGCCGAATGCCTCTTCATTCTATTGCAGGGAAGCGTTCTGTAGTATGGCTCGCTGCAAGTTGATCTGCAGGGCATTTTTGGTAAACCGTAGTCTATGGGGTAGCCCTGAGTATCTACAGCCTGGCATATACCTGAAATTTAAAAACTACCATTTTTTTAAACTCTAAAGTGGTGGTTTTAACTTTAAAAACTCTTAACTTTAACTGCTAACGCAAGGCAATGTGTTATCTGGCATACACTTCAAATATTATATTTTTTTATGTTTAAGACAATATAAAAACAAATAATAGTATATTACATACCGAGGAGCGAAGTGTTTCATTACTGTAGAGAGATTAACTACATCTCGAGACAATAATAGCTTTCGGGTTGTATAATATTTTATTACAACCACATCATTAATTGAAAATAGGGACATTTTATTTTGAAAAAAAATAAATACACGAAAAGTTGTCGTTTTTGTTTTAGCATTTCCATATCTATAGTTACCGGTACCAGTGATTGTCATGGCGCAAACTTCACAATAAAACAAGAAACAACTAAGCATGCCTAGACACTCAATGGTAATTTTATAGAACTACAAATTTAGTTTCTTTCGCATCGCCAGACAGCGCAAAAGACATTAAAGTGAATTTCTGATTTATATATGAACATGACAGTCTCTATGTTAACTACTGTCTGTGGTCTAGATTTGTCTAGTTGACAAAATGTTGGTGGTGATCCGTCAAGTTATTTTTAAATCATTATTTAAATAATTATTAATTCAAGACATTCCTGATTTGCCGGAAAGTTCAGTGATTTCAGTGATTTGTGATTTTATTAGTTTATGCATTCTGATATTTACAGTCGATCATCATTTTCGTGTTAGCTACTAAACTTTTTTGTTAAGTCATTTTGACATTTAGAAATTATAAATTTATGAACCAAATAAAAAAAGGTTTTAATCATAAATAAGTAAGTACATAGTTGGTAATATATATAGGTACAGTATTTTTAGTAACAGTTAATTAGTAGTCTATAATATTTTTACTATATTATAATTTAGTAGCTAAATCAAAAAAAAAATAGGCGCTATGTGATCTATAGTTGGTGTTTAAAATGTAATATTCATAATTTTAATTTTGTTTAATTATGTTACACTTCTAGTGATACAATAAAACATAAAATGGCAGTAAAAAAGTCTATATTTATTGTTTTATATTTACAAGGAATAATTTTGCGCTTGAATAACGTTACCGTTTTAATTAGCGTTAATAAGTAACTGAGAGAACGCTAAAGTATGTTATGCCGAAACTCTCCATTAGTTTCTTCCGGATCACCAGGTGGCTCTAAATGACGGACCCATTTGTTTTATATCAGTGTCCAATCTATCTCTAGTACGTGACATTAGTCTATGCAACTAAGTGACAGTTTAGCTAGGGACGATACAGCGCCCCGACGGTAACTTCACAGAGTCCAGGAAAGAAACGTTAGAGATTTTGGCCCAAGAGCACTTCCCAGGCTGCCTGACTCTAGGTGATAAAGAACAACCTCCCCCAATGTCGCCAACTCATGAGTATGAGTCGCAAAAATCGGCCCAAAAAAGTGGATTGGGAGATAGCGAAGAAAGTAATCACCTATAGGGAGACTAAGGGGGCGATCGAAAGTTTTGACCCATTTAAATCTCCAGGAGAGGACGGGTGTTCCTGGCCTTATTGCAGAAGGCTGAGAGCATTATCGTCTCTCGCTTAGTAAGGATCTTTAGGGCAAGTCTGGCATGGTCATACATGCCAGCGGATTGGACGAGAGCAAAGGTGGTATAGCGAAGGTGGGGAAACAAAACCTACAACCTGGCTCATATCGACCAATAAGCCTTACATCATTTCTGCTGAAGATCCTGGAAAAGGTGTTGGATGGGCATATTAGGGGAGGGATCCTTACGTCTAATCCCCTGAATGTCCGGCAATATGCCTATTAGCAGGGGAAATCAACAGAACTGTCCCTCAACAATTTGGTGGGGGAAATTAAGAGCACCTTTGATCGCAAGGAAATTGCGGTAGGAATTTTCTTAGACATTGAGGGAGAATTTAACAATGTTACCCCTCAATCGCTCCTAGGCGCTGTAAAAGCCCGTGGAGTCGAAGCAACCATAACTGAATGGATTGAGCAAATGCTCAAAAATCGAATAGCAACGACCTCGCTCAGCGGTGAGTCCGTCAGGTTTGTTCCTGGCAGGGGATGCCCGCAAGGAGGAGTTCTCTCTCTTCTGTGGACCCTGTTAGCGGATGACCTAATGGCAATCATCGATGCATATGAGGTTGAAGCACAGGCATACGCGGACGACCTGGTGATCTTAGTAAAAGGACACTAAGAGGAGGACATCTCCTCAAAAATACAGAAGTCTTCGGGATCATGGTGCTGGTGGCAGAAAGCCTTAACAACGGCAAAGAATAAACTGTCAAAATTACTACGACAAGCATGCTTAGCGTTGACTGGTGCCTTTCATTCTACACCGTCAAAAGCTATGGAAGCCCTACTCGACTTACCTCTTCAAATTATTTTGGAGGGGGAGGCGAGATGGGCTACATATAGGTTTCTAAATATGGCACGAGAGAGCCAAGGATCAATCATGTTCATACAAAGCCGACTAGTAGACGAACTAGAATCGGATGAGATTCTGGGAATGGTCTCGGATCTCACACCAATCCAACTCTTGACACGCATCTACAACGTCCTGTTTCCGAATAGGGACAAATGGGATAAGCCGAGAAAGCGTTTATTACATGCGGAAATGTGTTGGTACACAGACAGATCCGAAAACGATAAAGGATCTGGCGCAGGAATTTGCTGCAGCAGTCCAAAGACTGAGATCTACCACAGTCTTGGAAAACACACCACTATTTTCTAAGCTGAGCTATATGCTATTGAAGCCTGTGTGCAACTACTGGTAGAACAGCAATACACCGGGAAAACAATAAGCATATTTTCGGATAGCCAAGTCGCGTTGAAAGCACTTGAGGCAACGAAATGTACGTCTGTGACGATTCTTCATTGTATGAAACTACTCAATATATTGGGCAGATGGAAACAAAGTGTCGCTAAATATGGATACCGGGACAATGTCGGCCTAGAGGGAAATCGGAACGTGCTGATTCCCTGGCCAAAATTGGTCCAGGCTCGCCATTCGTGGGCCTAGAACCGACACTTAGCGTTTTAAAAATCCTCGCAAGAGACAGGCTCTGCGAATGGGTTAGGGGTGCGAAGTTTCGGGACTGGTATGACGGTCCCGGAATGGAACATGACAAGACAATCCTAGCAGGACCAACCAAACGTAGAACAGATGACCTCCTAAAGACTGGTAGGAACGGAGCGCGCGTACGCTTACTGGCAGTATACACGGCCACTGACGCTGAGATCACACCTACAGAAGATGGGACTGGTGAAAGACGCCGAATGCCCGACTCTGTATGAAGGATGACGAAACAATGAAGCACGTTATGTGTAACTGCCCCGCTGGGGGCAGGACCAGGTTTGAGGTGTTTGGCAAACCCACGCTAGACCTATCAGACCTAGAAGACATATCACCCTCGGACATAACGGCCTATATTAAAAGGCTGGATCTTGAGGGTGAACTTTAATGCTCTTTTTCTATTAAAGAGCTTGTAGAAACTGAGCCACAATAGGCCCTCGCCGAAGCTGCAAAAAGAGCAGAAGCCCGTTTATTTCCAGAGAAACGTCGGGGGCGATATGAAATAGCATTTAAAGTATACGAAAAATGGTGTGCCGAAAGAAATGCTAAGAATATTGCTTCGGAGACAGTCTTGATGGCATATTTTAGCGATATGACAAGGCAGAAAAAGCCATCTACTCTTGGGGTTACGTACAGCATGATACGGACAATGCTAGAATTAAGGGAAAAGACTGACATATCAAAATATCACAAACTCGTCGCTTTTTCAAAACGCCAGAATGTAGGTTTTAAGCCACAGAAGTCTAGCATTTTTTAATTTTAACAAATAAATGTATTAAAATCTTCAATTATTATTGTTAATGTTCTTGTTTATTTCTGTTGATGTTAGATAAGTATTTAATAAAGATATTACAAGAATATTTTGCTAATTAAATGAGGCGAGAAATAAGAAAAACCGAGTGAGGTAAATGGGAAGAGGGAAGAAATGTAGATAATTTGACACAAATTTTTTAAAAGTCAGTAATGTCAGTATTACATATGTGGTTGTAAATAAATACTTTTAGTAAGGAACATTTATTTTCAGATTATTTAAATCGATGTCCTTAAACAGCCGTTAAACGGTAGCCTATAAAATGCCGTTAGTAGATATTGTGACGTCGTTCATGTCGGCGGAAAGTAATGCCTAGCTATAAGCATTTACAAGAGCACCTGTGGCTCCGTGGCTGAGGCCATTGCTTCGTGAGCGAATGGTCCGTGGTTCAAATCTCACGCCGACCAGGACTTTTTTATATATTTTTTTGCTTATAGCGTGATCTTATTGCATTGATTTCACTCAACTTCACTCTTTTTGGTTGGATTGGTTTAGTTATTTGGCGGGTTGGTTAGCGTGGTTATTTGGAGGGTGTTAATTCATTGGTTAGTTGGTTATTTGGTGGGGTTGGTTGGTTTTTACTAATTTATATTTGTTTTTTTATATTTTTTCATCAGTGTCGGGTTAGTTGCGTTGGTTAAGTTGATTATTTGGTGGGGTGGATAGCGTTGGTTAGTCCTTATAAAATTCCTATGTTTCATAAAGCCGTCAATTGCGTCACATCAACGACGTCATACCTATTAACGGCATTTTAATAAGCTACCGTTTAACGGCAGTTTAAGTACAGCCTGAATACAAGATTTGTACTTTAAACTTAAAAATGTTTACTAGCAGACCTTGCAGTCGAACTTTTAGAACCTTTTTAGTGCGAAGCATACAAGATTAATAGCCGTAAAAAACTCATCCCAACTTTATTAGAATATTTTGAACGGGAAAGCGTTAGTAATGGCCCTCTATGATCTTTAAGTGTTGGTAAGAAGGTGAGTTTTGTTGATGTAAATAATAACTGTTTATATATTTATAATTAATTTATAACATTAAATTTAATACATTATTAATGATAAATATAATGTCATTTCAACAAAAAGTCA